TGTCTATGGCATATTCCTAGCTAGATAATTAAGTAGGAGATCATGGGCAGGCAATTCAACTCTCATCTCCAATTCCATCACTAATTTCCACTGTGATATCAATGCCATTCCAAATGCCAATTCAAGGGGCCATCTTCCTCCTTTGTTGTACTCTTGTAGCATCCTTTAGATTTGCATCGTACCTTAAATACTGGCTTAACTTAGTTTATTCCTTCACAAAGATTTTTTTGTTAATTTACTTATTCAATTATTTGTTCCTTAACCAATATTTGAGTGCCAGCCATGTATCTGTCAGATATCTGGGGATATTGTAGTGAAGATGATTGATAAATTTCCTGCCCTCAAGTAGCTTATAGTCTAGTGGGAAAAGTCAGACATTAAACAAATAATTGTATAAATGATAAATTGATTGTAGTAATGAAGAGTCCTATGAAAGAAAAGTACAAAGAGCTTAGAAACTGAGTAACAGGGGACATTACTTAGTTTAGGGGGCACGAAGGACTCCCTCAAGGAAGTGATACTTCAGCTAAAACCTGAAGGATGAACAGGAGAGAGGCAGGCAAAGGAGTTGGGGAGGAGTTCCCAAAGCAGGGTGGAGTCTGTAAGCAGTAGGGCTGGGAAGGGCTTATGTGGTAAGAAAGTCAAGCCAGTGTGAATGAACACAGCAGCAAGGAAGAGAGCTGCAAGAGATAAAGTCAGCGAAGCAAGAAGCGGTCAGATCACTGGGGCCTGCAGACCACATTAAAGGTTTTGGACTTTATTCTGAGAGCAATAAAAGGATGTAATCTCGTGTGTGGTTTTTTTAAAACTCAGTCTTTGAACATAGACAAGTGATTGAAAAGGAGCAGGGAGATATATGTGAAGAATAGTTAAGTATCTGTGACTGTATTCCAGACAGAAAGTGACTGTGACATAGACTATTAGTGTGGTATTGATGCAGATGGTATAATGTCAGTTATTATGAGAGTCACTTAGGAGGTAGAATGAGTGGAACGTGGTGATTATTTGACTGTGGGTGGTGATGAGGTACAGGAAAGCGTCAGACATTCCTTGAGTTTGCTTTGAGAACCTGGGTGGTACCATTTGCAGCGATAAGGACTGTCGGAAGATAGCGGACCAGATTTGAGGGAGGCAGATCATGGATTCAGTTTAGTAGTTGTTGAATTTTAGGTGCTTGTGAAATACTGAGTGGAGATGTGAAGTAGGCAGTTAAATATATGGACCTAGAGCTTGAAGGAGAGGTCTGCACTAGAAGTATGCACTGGGGAGTCATGGGTGTAAATATGATAGTCAAAGCCATGAAAATGGATGAGAGATTGCCTAGGAAGTATGTAGAGTAAGAAGGTAAGTGTGCGCAAGACCAAGTCCCGAGTCCAGCTGACATTTAATGGTCAGGTTAGAGTGATGAGTCTTGAGAAGCGGCCACCAAAGTAGAAGGAAAACTGGTGGCGTGGCGTGTCAGTATCAGTGTTCCTATGTCTCGTCTATGTATACACTATTATTTCTGAAGCCTTGTTACATTCATTTTATTATGTTTTTGAGTCACCAAATCTATTATTCTAGTAATTACACATACAGACTTACGGTTGCAAAGGAAATACTTTAATGTTAACAAATTGGGCTGCCTGTACCCACCACCACCTATGTTGCCTAATAGATTGTAGACAATTTTTAGGTATTTCTAAATCAGATGCAAAGCACAGACCTTTTACTGTAGCCTTTCTAGTTATTTTATGTGCCTGGATATACCCTTTAATAAAATCTGTGGTAATCCATGGTTTACCTGATTTTAGGTAAGATTAGATAAGAGTGGGTACACTTACGGCTCATAAATATTAATGTGCTGGTTTTCCTACATCCTCATAGAGGCAGAAGAGCCTTGGATTTGAGACCTAGATTTATTAAATTGTAAACTTTAGGTTTATTTATTTTTATTTACTAACAGAGGTACTGGGGATTGAACCCAGGACCTCGTGCATGCTAAGCACACGTTCTATCACTAAATTATATACCCATTTAAATTGTAAATTTTAAGTGGGTAGAAACTGTCTGTTTGGTTTACTACTCCCTTCCTGAAGCTTATCATAGTGTATAGCATGCAGGAAGCAGGGAATTAATATTTATTGAATGGGAATGAATGAGTGAATGAATGAATGATTACAGTTCTGTGGCTTGACCCCTGTTTATTTGGGCAACTTAATAAAACAGTAACGATTTTTAATATTAGAGAGTGCCGAGAGGCAAGTGTTCTTACACACTGCTGGTAGGTATGCAGGCACGCTAGCCACAACTGCAAAATCCCTTTTTCCAAATAAGGTAATGCTGACAGGCTCCAAGGATTTGATGTGAATATCCTCTGGGGGGACATTTCTTAGTCTACCCCACCTACCTTCAAGCTATTCTTCACAAACTGACCTCAGTTTGAAATGGTGCCTTGATCATATCACTCCTTGTTGCTCTCTTTATAAACTCCACACTTCAACAAGACTTTTCCTGATTTGGCCCCTACTTGTATCTCCAGCCTCATTGCTTGCTACACCATGACCACACTCCACCTTTCACCCATTCTAAGTAAACCCTTTGTATTTTTGTAGTTTTTGTTAGTTTCCATTTCCTTTCTTTCTTGCTTCTTGACCTTTCTTCATACATTCTTGTCTCTTTGGCAGGAACATGCACATTTCTTTTGCCTAACAGCCATTTCAGGTTTTAGCTTAGACATCCAGATCTTGCATGAAGCCTTCCTTGGATCACAAAATCCAGATCAGGTATACTGTGTCTATGTCTCCACTTTCTCTATCACGATATCTCTTATTTAATTGTATTGTAATTGCCCAGTTTCCAGTCCTAATTTCATAGTTTCTAGTTGACTGTAAATACTGTGAGGGCAGGGCCTCTGTCTATTACATCATATCTCCCAAATCTAGCACAGTCCTTGGCACACAGTAAATATTTGTTGAACAATGTTTCCTCTAAATAATAGAGGGAAAAAGGTGGATTGGGGTTCCAGCTGCTAAAATTTAACTTTGGAGTTGGTTTATGTTTTTGAATAAATATGGAAGTTGAAAATAACTTAATCTCGTTGCAATGTAGCTTCATCAGTTGTAACAAATATCCCACCCTGATTGGGAAATGTTGACAATGGGGGAAGGTTGTGCACATTCAGGGGCAGGAGGTATATGGGAAATCTGTACATTTTGTTCAGTTTTGCTGTAAACATAAAACTGCTCAAAAAATAATAAAGCCTATTAAGAAAAAAAAAAAAGAACTTAATCTTTTTCTTATTCAGGCTTATGAGATGAAGGCACAGAGGTCTGCTGCTCCCTCGCCGGCATTCTTATCTACAACCCTTTCTGCTTTGGATGCAGCCCTGCATGGTGGTGTGGCTTGTGGCTCCCTCACGGAGGTAAAGGAGAAAATTTCCAGACTTCTTCCATTGACCTATAACCTTCAGAGCCAGGGGAAGAGTTTAATTTAAAAATATAAAGTATTTCATGAATATTCATCTAGATTAAATTACAAGTACCTCAAGGGTGTGATTCTCCACTCAGTCCCTAGTATAATTTTTTGTTTTTGAGTGAATGAACACATAAGAATAGAACTTCCTTCTGCCTTGAAAGGACCTCATCCCACCCCTAGGCTATATTCTGAGGCCTAGATTTTTACCTGCTCTCCTAGCATCCCAGGCCAGGCCATCTGCCACAGTGAGGCACACATCAATACTAGAACAGTACATCAAAAGGAAGATGTTCCAAAAATTCCTTACTGACTCACTGAAGTCTACCTGGGTTACTGTTTCTTTGAGTTGGAAGCTGTTGAATATTATGAAATAATACAAAACAACTTGGGGGAATTAGAAAAGGATCACTGTTAGTGTATTAGGAAGGAAAAATTTGAATTTTATTAACATGTTGGGCAAGTTATAGTATTAAACTGAATTGAGATATTTTTACTTTCTGTAATAGATGAAATTTGGTTCTAGGAAGTAATAGGTTGTTGTATTAGTCACATATTGCTGCATAACAAATTACTCAAAACTAAGTGGCTTAAACAACAGTGGATATTGATTCCTGTTTTTTGGGGAGTGGCTCAGCTCGGAGATATTGATGAGGGATGTAAGGGGGCAGGTTGGTGCTGGTTGTTGCAGGTGGTCACAGTTCCTCCCCAGAGGCCGTCCACAGCTGCTTGAGGCTCCTCATGGCACGATATCCAACGTCCCCAGGGTGAGGGATCCAAAAAGTACAATGGGAATGGCGAGTCCTTTGATGATTTAGCTTTGAAAGTTACACACTGTTATTTCTGCTGCTTCCCCTTCATTAGAAGTGAGTCATTAAGTTCAAATCAAAGGGAAATTAGACTTTGCCTTTTGAAAGAAGTGTCAAGAATTTGGGGATATTTCAAAGCCACACCAGTTCTTTTCCTTAAAAACTGCATTGGTGTACTTACTGTCCTGATATATTAACTCGATAGACTATGTTTACCAATATACTCCTGAGGGAATTCTTGCCTGAGAGTTCAAGAGGGTGCAGATACTTTAAACAAATGTTTAACAAGAGTAGACACTTACTTTCTGATAGGCATAAATTTAACTGTAGATATTTTTCCTTGAAAATAGGGAACCTGTTTTAGGGACTACCTATATTTTATTTCTTGTCTTCCAAGAAAGATTTAAAAATGTGTGTGTGCTATGCCTAGTAGATGCCTACTAGATACTAGGTAAATGAATGAATGAATACATTAATCTTAAAAAGAAATTAGAACCTGCTGTTGCAGAGCACTGCCACCAGGTGGTGACAGAATTCTATCTTACGTAATCTTTTTGTAATCCAGTTGGATCTTTGCTGTAATAAGTTTATTAAAAAAAAAAAGGTTAAATCAGTTGTGATCCACAGTTATAAACTTAACATATTTAAATAGCAAAAAATTGAACTTCAGGAAGATTAACCAACAGCAACTCTTTTTTATTTTTTATGTTTTAGAATAGTTTTTAATGCTTTTTCACATAGCTTTTATCAATCCTTTCTGAATCCAAGAGGTAGTTACAGGCCATTAGATGTTTTGTTGTGATCTATTTGGCTGACTTGTAATATAAGTACCCTGATTGCTTTATAGTGGCAAGTTCTCTGCTCTCTGTTTTAGCTACAGGTAGCTCTGCAGCCTTTTTGGGATTTTTCAGCTGGGTACCAGGAATAATTCTGTTTACCTTTTATTAAAAAACAAGAATTTAATATATATTTTATGTATATAAAATTAAATGTATCCTGCATGTATAAGTTATGAACACTGTGTGTCTGTGACCCATATAAGGACCAGGACAACAGATCATGGGCACAAATACCTCTCGCTCCATATCTTCTTGCCTTGGTATTATTTGACTTCTTAATTTCCACCCATCTTTGTGATCTTAGTTTTTATTTTTGTGATTATTAATGAGCCTGAATCTCTTTTCATAAATCATTTGGCTATTTAAAAATAATTTTATTAAGGTATGACTTAAGTACTATAAAATTCAACCATGGTAACTTATAATTCAACTATATTAGTAAATTAGGACTAGGCCGAGAGATGACTTGAGGGAGTAAGAATAAATCTGGAAACTTTCTGCTGTCACTTTTATCGCTGCTCTTTCCTGACTCTAACTGCAAAACACCCTAATTTATTTATCATCAGTTTTGATTTATGTGAACTGCATTGAATCTGTGTGTGTTCAGTTACAGCACCAAGATTAAAAGTAGAATTAGAGAAGTGCTACTCATGCCAGAAGCAGAAGCAGCAGAGGAGAAATCAAAGAGAAACCAACTCTGCTGAATCACTCATGGAAGTGAGCTCCAGGGCTTTGTCTCATTCCCAGAGAGCATCAGGTTCCTTACTTATGGAATATATAAGCAGATAGTTCTACATCTGTTAATACTGAGTATTGGTAGTAAAGATTTGTTTGAAGTTTAAACTTTAAATGTTTATGTTAGGCGGAGATCAGACCGTGTAATGGTAGTCTTTTCACATGAGATAATATAGATCAGTTCAGTGTTTCTTAATCCTTTTTTCATTATTACCCCCTAAAGAGCTTTGTAGACTTTTCCCCCCTAATAACCACTCCTGCCACCGTGAGATTTTTAATACCACAGATATAGTATCTTTCTGTTTATATCCTGTAGATGTATCTGTGCTTTATATGGGAAAAGAGTAAAATCGCTCCTCCTTGATCAAAACCAAGTTTTACCCTTGGGGTCAGTATCACCCCTGCTGAGGATACATGGTAAAGATGCTGATGTGATTAGGTAAAATTAAAGCTTTATTTAAAGGGATCATTAAAAAAGGTATTTTCTTATTGTAATCCAGAGGTTACAAGACTAGAGAACTGGTCCAAACTCATGTCAACGAAAAGAGATGTAACATCTGCATATCTTGGTTGAAGAGTGCCTCTGGAAGGGTAAACCTGTGAAGCACTGCCAACTCTTTACAGCGTTTAAGAGTAATGATTATCCCCAGATCCATGCTGTAAATAATAAGAAACAGTGTAGTACACGTCTACATTATTTGTGTTTCCTGAGCCACTTCTATGCTTTGTTCATGATTTAAGGAGACCAGGTGTTCTCCCTGAGTGGGGCAGTTTTGCTTTGGAAGTGACTATCCTACTGTCCCAAAAAGGTAGAGGCAGGATGCCAGAATCCTATTTTGGCTTCCTCATTTTTCCTCAGAACAGTTAAATATTTCAGTTCTGCTTCTTTCTAGTTGGCAGGATGGATTGTGGTCTAAGATCACAGGAGATACTAAGTCAGGGCTTGCAAACTCAAATGTCCACAAAAGGTTTTGGCATTATAGAAATGCATAACCAGTGACGTGTAAGACGTAAATGCTTTATCAGTCAGTTCTGGCTGCTTACTCTGCTTACAACAGCAGCAAACATTAATTTTTCTTGCTCACAGGTCTGCAGGTCAGCCAGGGTGGCTCTCATCCCCTTCAAGCTGCAGTCAGTTCAGGTCTGCTCCATGTGTAGCAACAGCAGTAGGAAAACTAGGGAGAGATTTCTAATGGGGGTTCCTTGAACGTAGTCTATTGACATGATTTGTTTATCCTGCCCAGTGTTTTGAAAGGCAAGATAACCAGACCTCTGTCCTAACATACGAGTTTAACATATGCAGCGGTTTGAATCATTGTTCCTATTCGCCTTCTAACTTACTTCCTAATTTAGAAATGAACATCTTTCTCCATAAAGATTTCGTAGAGTTTTTTATACGCCATATGTTCTATGATTGTTAAATGAATGATTATATCCCTTGATACTTCGATTTTTTCTTTTTCTTAATGTGAAGCTTGGGGTACTTGTCATTTCCATGTCCTCTTGCTTTTTTCTGTTCTGTTCCCCTCCCTTTTTTCCCCCTCCCTTCCCATTTACTTCAAAACACAGCAGTTGTCAGTATGGAGTAAGAGGCAGTGGGGCAGAGAATCCAAGGTATGAAACCTTCCACGTGTTGATGTCAAGTTACTTAGGATCAAGGTTTCCTTCACAAAGCACAGTTACCTGGCCTTTCTGAGACTGTTTGCTCTTTGTTTGTTTTAATATTCAGAGAGTTATTTTTTTAAAAAGTTCTATAGTTCTGAAGCCCTAATCGTATTGCTACATAATTGTAGAGCACACGGAGATAGGTAGGTGGATGCTGGGGGAAGGGGGTCATTACAAAGATGATATGAAGCTCCCACATGCTCTTTTCTCAGATCAGAAGCAAGCAGTCCTTAAATTTTCTCTGCACACTTTGGCTTGGCAGCTTGCCCCGTCCTGTTGCCTCCATCTTGAACGTGGGGAAGAGTTACTTGATAAGATAACAGGTCCAGGTTTCACATTCATCTCAACCATTTAATCTCTTTTAAGATTAAAATGACTAGACTTCATTTTTACTTTAGTACACCTAGGCTTTCTTTTCTTGGTAATTCTTTTCTCTCCTTTTAAAACCAATTATTAATATTTGCTTCCCTGTTGATATCCTAGTGAGCTTCACTATTGATTGTTTTCTTTCTGTTCCTTTACCTTTCTCAGACAGGATTGCTGAAACGCAGGCTCTAACTGTATGAAGCTAATTGTGTTAACTGGTGTCTTCTGTGTGTAAATGCTGTATTCACTCTGAGTTTCCAAGAAGCACATCACTTAGACTGTTCTGGTTTGGCGTGTGCTCTCGTTTCTAACCACCATTGGAGCTGAACCTGGGAACTGAACACAACTTGAAATTTTGTGGTTTGGCTGCTAGAATTCAGAGCTAAACTATCTGAAGCTAAAAATTATTAATGTTGAAATGTTTTAACCCACTAAGTAAACCTGAAAAAATTATGAAATTTAACTCCAGCCAGCCCCCCAGAATTGCATATAGCTTATTTTTTCTTGAGTCTAGAAAGAGACCAAAAAAATGTGAAGAGGCTCTGAGCTTGCTGAAGCATTAGCAATCAGTAGTTTAAAGAAAATGTTAATACCCAAATTCTAATGCAAAGTAAAGCAAGCATACAGAAAGCAAATGAACCCAGAAATTTTGCTTTTCACATGATGTTCTGCTTTTCTCAAGCCTATGGTGAATCAGTACATAAAAATAATGAAGGAGGTAAAATGCCAGTAACACTTTTTAACTTCAGATTTTTTTCATGTTTTCTTTGAAGATGGAATAGTAAGATAATACCTTACATTTTCATGGTATTTGATATTTACTGAATATTTTCATAGATAACACACAATAAAAATATAAAATAAAATAAAATAAAATAAATATATAATACATTTTTTTAAAAAAAATTGAGGGCTTGTTTCACTTTTCCCCTAAAAATCACAAAGCATTTCATGGGTTTAAGCACATTAAATCTTAGAATATATCTAAAAGCTGGCATGTAGTTAGTATGTAGAGAAAGGCAGTCCTCTGTTCCTCAAGTTAGCACTATGAAGAGTCATCATTTCTCATATTCAGGATCCACTTTCAACTTTCATTGATAGAAGTTTCCTTTGCTCTGACATCTGGTGATTAATTTGATCCGTGTTGCCTTTGATAGTGATAAAAGGTCCATGAAAAGTGTTTTGGCCTCTTCAAAACTACCAGTCTCCAAAGGAGAGTATGTAAGACAGCCCATGAGGTTGTGGGAAGAAGACATTAGAAGTTTTCTTGGTATTTCAATCTAAAACATGAAATAAACCTTAATTGATATTTAATACATGGATTGACACTGGCATCCCCACTTGGTCTGTGTGTTAGACTGTCATGTGTCAGGTGTAGTCCACCTGGAAAGGACACAGAAGGTCAACAGAGGCACCTTTACTTTCAACATATTGGGATGAATTGTAGTTCTACATGTACCAGGTAAGGTGGATTCATGGATATAACTAAATCAAATTTCACAAAATGGACAGATGGCATAAAAAGATTTCTGCAAAGAAATTGTATTTTGAAGGCAGTACTAATAATGTGAGCAGAGGTGAGCCACATGCATATAAAAGTCAGAGCTGATGATTCTCCTATGACTAATGAAATAAAAATCAGTAACATTCTGATCTTATCTGTGAAGATGTCCAAAGAATTTGAAATTATAAAGAAGATAGTCTGATAGAAGTTTTCTTTGCTCTGATACCTGGTGATTAATTTGATCCATGTAGTCTTTGATAATGATAAAAGATCCATGAAAAGTGTTTTGGGCAGTTTAGTATCTTTTTTATAATTTCGAATTTTTTGGATGTCTTCACAGATGAGATTAAAATGTCATGATACATGAAATTATTTCCATTATTGTTAACAATGAAACTTTCTCTGTTATTTTGTCCCTTGAAATACTGGCTGATGGTAGTAAGAAGCCAACGTAATTAAGAAATACACATCACAGAAAGATAAGCTTCCACAAGTTTTTCAGTGACTTTTAAAGTCATGTAATACATATTCAAATATCGAGAAAAATTTCACTAAAATTAATGGTAGGTATTTAAAAGCCTCTTTTGGGTCTTCTTAACAGCAAAAGACCAAATGCGATACATTGCTAATAACAGGGGTACCCTTGTTCTTGTTTCAGTAAAACAGATGAAATAAGACATAGGAAACAACATAACAACAACATAAATGGATTCTTTTATGAGTAAATACTTTCAGATAGAGATTACTGCAGATGGTTTGAAGCATCAAGGATTAAAACAAGTTACTCATTGTGGAGGGATGCTGTAGAATTAAAGTACGGAAGTGTCCAGCATGGCCTAGGTTATAGAATTAGTTAGTTTCTGTTTCAGTATTGAAATACATGAGCTAAATTATTTTTGGGCCACAAAAGTAAAGGTGTTATTAAGGAAGATACGTTGGATATGGATATGTATCTATCATATATCTTATTATTATTTTCTCTTTAAGTAAATAGGTAAATGATTTAGACTCATGGCTCATCCCTTCTTAGTTCTTCCTATTTCTTGATATATCTAGACAATTTCTTCAGCTCTGTAGAGTGTCTCAGTCTTAGCTCAATTTTTTTTTTATCTCTACTCAAGATTTTCTCCTCTCCTTCTTTCCTTCTCCCTATTGTAAAAAATTGTACATTAGTGTTATTCTCACAGAAGGGATAGCGTTTTGGTGGTTAAAATTTGGATGCTGCAGGCAGTATGACAAATAGCATGTTAAAAGGGGATATTTTTAACATTTTCAAATTAATTTTTGTTAACTACTTTGTGTCGGACTCCAATATGCATGTGATTAATTGCCTATTCTTTTCCATCAATACCCTCTTGATTTTAAATTTTCTAATCTCAAAACAGCTTTCTAGCAAGTAAAATTTCAAAATATACACTTCAAAGTATGAATCACCTAGATTCAGCAATTGCTGAATTATGTTTCATTTGCTTTGTTTCTCTTCTACAGACATATACACTTTTTTTGCTGAACCATTTGCAATTAAATTGTATATATCAATAACTTTTATTCCTAAATACTTTTCTCTTTTTTTTTCATTGTGTCAATTTCTGGTGTACAGCATAATGTTTCAGTCATACATGTACATACATATGTTCATTTTCATATTCTTTTTCATTATAGGTTAGTACAAGATATTGAATATAGTTCCCTGTGTTATGCAGTCCAGAAACTTGTTATTTAATCTACCTCATATATAGTTGTTAGCATCTGCAAATCTCACACTCTCAATTTATCTCTTCCCGCTTCCTTCCCCTCTAGTAATTTTTTTTTTTGGTTCCACATATAAGTGATATCATATAGTATTTTTCTTTTTCTTTCTGGCTTAATTCGCTTAGAATGATGATTTCTGAGTCCATCCATGTTGCAGCAAATGGCATTATTTTATTCTTTTTAATGGCTGAGGAGTATTCCATTATATAAATAAATCACAGCTTCTTTATCCAATCATATTATTGATGGACATTTAGGTTGTTTCCATGTCTTTGCTATTGTAAATAGTGCTGCTATGAACATTGGGGTGCATGTATCTTTTCAAATTAGAGTTCCTTCCAGATATATGCCCAGGAGTGGGATTGCTGGATCATATGGCAAGTCTACTTTTAGTTTTTTGAGGAATCTCCATACTGTTTTCCATAATGGCTGCACCAAACTACATTCCCACCAACAGTGTAAGCGGGTTCCTTTTTCTCCATGTGCTCTCCAGCATTTATTTATTTGTGGACTTTTTAATAATGGCCATTTCTGACTGGTGTGAGGTGATACCTCACTGCAGTTTTGATTTGTATTTCTCTGATAATTAGTGATAGTGAGCATTTTTTTTCATGTGCCTATTGGCTATTTGTGTATCTTCACCAGAGAATTGCTTATTTAGACCTTCTGCCCATTTTTGATTGGGCTTTTTTTTGTTGTTGTTGTTGTTATTAAGTTGTATGAGCTATTTGTATATTCTGGAAACTAATCCCTTGTCAGTCACATCATTTGCAAATATTTTCTCCCATTCGATAGGTTGTTGTTTTATTTTGCTTATAGTTTCCTTTGCTGTGCAAAAGCTTATACGTTTAATTAGGCCCC